CCGCACTACCCACCACCCTCACCAACCAGCCCCCACCATCGATTCACCCACCCCCTCACACCACCCACCACCCACCCACATCAACACCGACCAGACGCCGTCCTGTCAAGCCTCGATCAGAAGCACCCTGGCGGCATCAGCACTGTCTTGCTGGTGTGCGCCCCGCGCCGCACCGCACCGCACGGCGCAGCCCCGCGGCACTCGCGGCCGCCGTTGCCACGCGTGCGCTGCATTCCCCTCCGCTGCTCTCGCCGCGGCAGCTGCAGCGGCCCGCGTGCTGCCTCCAGGCGGGCTGCGCTTTCTGCGCCTGCCGTTCATGAGGGCGCGGCGGCAGGTAGCTGCTGCACACAGCGCACCTCCCTCCCCCCGTGCCCTGCCGGCTTGCAGCTGCCGCGTCAAGGAATCATGAGCGAGCCGGCCTCACATCCTGCCTGGCAATATTCGCTTTTCGCTCACGTGGTTCCGCGCCTGCCTTTCTTATCTGCCCGTTGTGACACCAAATTTTGGATGTGCAGGTCCCGCGCGTGTGGCGGAACGAGGCAGCAGAGGCCGCAGAGGCGTTTAGTGGCGGCGCCAAGCCTGTGGCGGTGGTGGCGCTTGGAGGGGAGGAGGCGTGGGACGCGCTGGCGGCCTCGACTGTGGCGCTGGCCGACGTCGGGGAGGTGTGTGTGTGTGTGTGTGTGAAAGTGGGTTTGTGCGCGTGCGCATGTGTGTGTGCGTGTGTGTATGTGTGAGAGAGAGGTAGGGAGACAGAGAGAGAGAGAGAGACACAGAGAGAGAGAGAGAGAGAGAGAGAGAGTGACAGAGAGAGAGAGAGAGAGAGAGAGAGAGAGTGTATGTGTGTGTGTGTATGCGCGCGCGCGTGTGTGCGCGTGCGCTTGTGTGCGCGCATGCGCATGTGTGTGCGCGTGCGCGTGTGTGTGCGCGTGTGTGCGCTGCCCTTATGAGCATGTGCACTTGAAACCCCCTGCTGCGACCAACCCACCTCATTCCCCCGATCCCTTGACCCCGCCAGGCGAGCATCTACCCCGTATTGGCCGGCACCCCCCTCGTCTGCGCCGCCGCGCTCCGCCCGACCCGCGACGCGCTGCCCTTTCACCGCGGCCGCGCGGCGATGGGCGGCCGCGGCTGCCTGCCGAACTTCTTATTGGGCCGCGAGGCGGTCCCCGAGTTGGGCGTCTGGGCGGGATTTGGGCGCGGACGCGTGGTGGCGGCGCTGGGCCGCCTGCTGGGGAGCGAGCAGCTGCGGCACGAGCAGGTGCGGGGCGGGCCTGACGCCGCTCGCTGGGGTGGGGCGACGCATTCACGCCCAACGTACACATGATCGGGAGCCGGGCGCATTCGGGGCTGCTCCGGGTGCATGGCGGGGAGCGGCGCCTGTCAGAGCCGGCTGAGGATGCGACCGAGTCAGACCTGATCAGACCTGATCTGACCTGACCTGATGAGGGTGTGGAACTGAATTTTGAAACTTATTTAAATTCTACAACGCCCATTCGAACCTGCAGAAGGAGGCGCTGCAGTCTGCGGCGGCGGCGCTGATGCCGGCCCGCGCGCACGGCGCGGCGGCGACGCCCGGCGCGCCACGCCACCGCACGGGCGGCGGCGGCGGCGGCGGCGGCGGGGGTCACAAGGGCGCCAGCGCGAGCGGGGCGGCCGCTGCGGTGCTGCTGCGGCTCATCCAACAGCGGCGACAGCAGGTGGCGGCTGCGGCTGCCGCGGCTGCAGCAAAGGGCGGCGGCAGGTGATGTGTTGTGTCCGTGTTTGAGTGCGTGCGCACTGCGGCTGGCTGCGGCGATATCGTCGGTGCGCATGCCTCTGCAGTCCACAGCCTGTGCATTCCGTTGCACTTTGGCCATGTTTGCGCCGCCCTGCAACTGCACATTCTTCCAAAATCGGGACCCCTTGCAACACACCGCGGCACGTGTTGCCGCTGGGGCAGACATATAAGCAATTGCAGGCCAGGCACATACGCTGATGTCATGCATGTTTGAATCTAGCACTGCATTGGGTGCACCACGCACGCGGCGGCGCGCGCGCCCCGCCAGACAGCCGCTTGCAACTACCTCGCGCACGCGATTTGTAAGCTATAGCGTGCGTTTGCGACTTCCGCGCCGCATGAACCAGCAGGTTTAGAGACTGGAACGGGCGTGGGTCAGCAGTTGTGCGTCGAAACATGGGTGTGCCTGTGTGTGTTACAGGGCCTCACGTGCCAGTGAGAGCGGCGGCCATTGGTTTGTGGCAGAGGGGCCCCTCTGCGCCACGCGGCAGGGCTCCTCAAAACCTTCTTTGCATCGAGGCAGTACGCGACCAGCTTCGAGCGGGTGCCGCACCTCGCAGACTCCTGGGGCTGGCTCGGCTTACGGCCACTGGTGCGCGCTGTCCACGGCCGCGAGGGGCGGCTGGAGCTGCGCCACACGGTGTGGGAGGTGGTGCCAGACAACCCGTTGGTGCCAAGGGTGGCAGCCAGCGTCTGGTTGAGGGCTGCTGCTACAGCTGACTAGCAAAAAAAGCCAAGGCCGCTGATGTTTACGGCTGCAAAAGACAGGAGGAACGCTCACCGCGGCAAAGCCGCGGCAGCCCACTGCAGCTGCGCCTTCGGCGCATCTCCTCTGGGTCTAGCCAATGCACTAACCTTTCGAGCGTGCTATGCCTTTGTGCGTATGCGGAGGCAGGGCGGCTCGGGGACCTCGCGGTGCTGGCCCCGCGGGCCTGCCGTCGGCGCGCTCGGCTTTTGGGTACAGTAGCCAGCAGCTGCGGCAGCAGCCTCCCCTCCACTGAAGGCAAGAGAGCGGGCTGTGTTGGCGAGGCTCCTCATCACATGCTCACAAAGAGTGACGGGATGACACCCCTTTTTTACTGGGGGACACGCCTTTAGCGAGAGGGGGGTCATCCTGTGGGAGTGTGGCGTTTTTCCCGGGTGTAGCGGGCCCCCAAAGCTCCGTGATGAAAGGCGCACATCCTGCTTGAAGCCCTATTGCCAAGGCCTTGGCTCTTGAACTGCCTGCCTGTGGAGCGTGGAGCGCTGCCCTCAACGACATGACTACATGTTCAAGTAATTACTGTACCAACACAGCCATGGCGGCAGCTGCGACGGGTCGCGCACACAGACCCCCTGTGCCAACAAATCCACACGATACCCTTCAATACATTGAGCTGGTCGCTGCAAACACCCGAAAGGGTTGACGTGGGGTGCTCAGGTCCAATGACTGATCAGGGTGCAATTTGCCCGGGCCCGTGACACCGAAGCGTCAGCACATGTTCGACATGTGCAGGATCGGGACCACGCCAAGAACTTCCGTTGCTGCCATGAGCTCACTGCCTGTCGCACCTCGTCGCGAGTCATATTTCGTCCGCGGTGATCAGCGAGGCAACGCCGCCAGCCACGCCCAGCATGCGGTGTGTTCGGAGGTCCCTCGTGAGTGTAGTGGTGGGGTTGCTGGTGCTCAACATGCTGGGCTGGACCATGTGTGCCAGGTGCGCAGGGAGACGCAGTGTGTGGGGGGGCCACTGGAAGGGGGGCGCAAGCCAGGGTCAACCTGATGGGAGCTGGCTAACCAGTGCAAGGCGATAGATGTTGCTGCTCGCCACTCGTTCCCAGCTGTTCAGCCAACGCGCCTGGCCGTCATGCGGTGCAAGATCTTGCGTGTCTGTCTCCAATTCAGCTGTCTTCACGGCTGTGACAGCTTCGCAGCTGCAGCCACATATGTGTGTTTGTGTGCAGCCAGCGAGGGGCCTTCAGGAGGTCCATAGCCTACCTGTGTGCAAATTGCTGCTGCTTGATGCAGTTCTGCGCACCGCATCAAGGTCTGCGCACAACTCGCGCTTGCTGACCCCCGTTTACTAACTTCCCACCGCAAAAACTCGCGGGGCGCACCGTGCAGCGCTCAAGCAACCCCCAGCGCTAAAGCAAAGAAGCAGAGGCTGGCAGTGGTGAGTGCTGTCCGCGTATCGTGTAGGGCCACTGGTGTGCTTCCGCGCCCGCACCATGCAACAAGTGGCACTAGTCAGCCTGGCTCTGGCAGGTAATCGGCATGCATGCAAAAGGATGCTTGCTCGCCAGCGTGCGGCACCCTGGTGTGTTTGGCCCGCACATGTCAAGGCGTACGAGCATGTGTCTTCACCTTCACCGACGATGCCTCTTCGTCCTGTGTTATCCCCATGCAGTGCGCTCCCATCAAAACCTTGACCAAGTCGTGCTCCTCCAAGGGCAACGCAGCCTTGATGGACCAGCTGTGCAGCGAGCTGCTGGCCCCGGCCAATGTGACGACTGACAGCAAGGTGGGTGCATGTGCGTAGGCTGAACATGTGTGCACACAAGTGATGACGCGCCTGCATCGCCAGGTGTTTGGCGAGTGCTTGTGGGGCAGATGCAATGACGTAGCCCTCCCCCCACTGATCTGCACCAAATGCAGCCCCTCTACCGCCAGGGAGCAGCCAGTCGTCGCGTGACAACCACATTGACACCCTTGCCTGTGTGCTGCTTGCTTTTTCTCACTCCCTTAGGACCCCACCAAACTTCACTACGGCTGTGGCGCAGCCACCACTGCCCAGGTCAACAAAGTGTCCAGCGACCTGGCAACCCTTGAGCCCATGGTCACTGCAGCCGTCGCCCAGGCCAGCTCTCTGCAGGCCACTGTCACCCAGGAACGCAACCAGACGGCGGCGCTGCGTGCCGAGATGGATGCTTTGCGCTCGACGATTGCAGCGCTCACCACGGCTGGTGCACGCACCGCACAGCAGCTGGCCTTGCTGGAGACGGCAAACCAGACTGCAGCCCAAAAGATTGTTGCACTCACTGCCACTGTGCAAGAGCTGCAGGCGACCGCGACCAACGCTACCAACTCAGCCAGTGTGACCCAGCAGTTTGCCACCCTTGCATCGACGGACACGCGCACGGCACAGCAACTGGCCTTGCTGGAAGCTGCGAACAAAACTGCTGCCCAGCAGATCGCCGACCTTGCAGCAACCAACTTGCGCAACACGCAGCGGCTGGCCTTGCTGGAGGTGGCAAACCAAACAGCTGTCCAGGAAATTGCAGCCCTCAAGTCTGCGCCGCAGCAGTGCACCTGCGGTCTGGAGCTTGCAGCCGTCAACACAACTCTGGCAACAGTCACGTCGCTCCAGCGAGCAGACGCAGCGGCGATCTCCCAGACCAACGCGACAGTCGAGGCCCTCAGATCTGCAGTTGCTTCAGACGCAGGCAGCATTGCATTCGTCAACACCACCCTCGGCACCCTGGCAGCGACCGTTGCCAACCTGTCGGCCGTCAACTTCACTACTTTCGTCACCACCACAGACCTTCAAATAATTGATGCGGCGACTCTGGGAGGGACGCCTGCGGCGCAGTACCTGCGTGTGCGCGTAGTACTATTTGCTGGTCCGAGGCGGACGGGTGCCTTGGGTGGTCGGAGTGGTGCCGACGACCTGTGCAGCATCTCCGCTGCCCGACCTGCCGGGCTCGCGCGGGTGCGTGCGTTCCTATCGATATCTTCATCTGACCAACTCAAGGACTTCCCCACACTGTATGGGGTCCCCACATCGCTTGCGATCACGGGTCCGGCCGGGACTGTCATAGCTGCCAGTTTCTCAAGCCTGTTCACCCCACCTCTCCAGAGCTCCTTGTCGGGGGGACAGGTTTTCCCGCGAGGGGCTTGGTGGAGTGGTACTGCGGCAGATGGCTCTGCGTCCACCGACACCTGCAATGGCTTCACTTCCGGCGTCACCACAACAAATGCGCCTATCGGGAATGCAGTGAGCACCGATTCTACTTGGTTGGCAAGCAGCGGTGTTGGATCTGCTTGCAGCAACAATGCTGTTATTGTGTGCATTGCTTTTTGAGTGGACCATGGCCAAAACGTGCTGGTGGCATACAATGTGCGTCACTTTGTAGTTTGCAATTGCCCGTCGCTCCTAGGAGCACGCAGGCCTGCCACCCAGAAACACACTCGTTTCTGCAGACTGATGCACATTGAGGCAAGCTGTTCTCCGAAGCAGCCTTGGAAGTGCAGAGTGCATACCTTGCTGTGCGCTGCCGCTCCTGTTGGGGTGCAGTGCAATGCTCCAGTGTCCCCGGAGCGTCTTTTGATTCCAATAGTTATCAAGTGCAGCCAGACGACGCGTACCTGCACGGCTCGCTCGAAACAGATAGATGCTGGGTGCCCCAGCACGTAGACCGTTGCATGGTCTTTGACTGCCCTGCTACCTCAGGTAGCCTGATCTGCAGGCTGAAGAGCAGTGGTGCATGCCCAAGGCGAATCACTTATACACGCCTCTCGCGCGCTCTGTGCACACACTTGTGGCCCTCAGCACTCGAGCTTTCACTTGGGTTTTGTGCCGCGCCTGCATCGACGCAGGTGATTCTCTGCAGGCTTTGGGCACACACGATTGCTTTTCCTTAGCACAGTCGGTATGTTGTGTAAGCTAGGTGCACGTGGCTGCACCGGCGCCGTCCGGGGGAGAGCAGTCTAAGCGATGCACGCGATCACGCAAGGCCGTTCCGCCACAGCCCGGGCGCCATCCTTGGCAGCAGCAGCGTAGGCGGCGTGGAGCAGTGTCCACATGACTGGTGATAGATTTGGCAACCTGCGCAGCAACGAAGCGAAGAATTTCACCGAAACGCCTTCATCTCCAGACTGTGGGACTTTGCTGGATCAACCAAGACCCTGGGGAGGTGACACCGCATAGCGAAGCTCGCTCCTACGGTAGAGCTAGCTGATATATGTTCCTGAAACTTTTGGCAAGCCCA